TGGAGGTTGAGAGATTATAGGCAACTCTGCACCTTATTGACCCATAATCAAAACAGATTGTCTGGAGTTTGTCTAGTCAAAACTAGAAATGACTGTGAACTTGAGGGCTGATATTCTGTCCTTCATGCCTTAGGAAATAACCCAAGTGCCCAGGCTGGAGGAGCACGAAGATGGCATACCAGATACAAAGTGTGGTAATTGCAGCATTGTCTAGACAGATGCTCCCCTCCAGACTGGCTCCTGTGGAGTGGCAGATCACTCATTTCAATGACTTGCATCTCTACTGAATTTTAATTAATAGAAGTGTGAGGAGCAGGTGTTAACTTGTTCTATAGATTCACAGTAGTCCCTCGGGCTCCCTAGACACAGTTAGATAGAGTTACCAAACGCTTAGAAGTTCCTGCTTCTGAACCTTTTCATCTCATTTACAAACTTGTATGTGTAGCAGGTATTTATTCGCATTAAGAATATTACTTTGCAGCCAGGCGTTTAGACCCCAGGAAGAGAGTACAAGTCCACCAACAGCACGTCAGTGGGGATGGATGTGGTTTTACTGCATCATACTTGTGGGGAGATTGTCAGCTCCCTTCTGGCTCCAGCTCTCCAGTTGCCTTTCCCCTTTATGTCTTTGGGGATGCTACCATTCACCCTGTCATAACTGCTATCTCACAGCTGCCCCACTCAAACCATCTGAAATTGCACAAGTTAGTTTACAGTTTACAATTCAAAGAGGTCTCTTCTATACTGTATTTTTTTTAACTAAGTGAGGTAGAGAGCAATTACACGAACAGCTACACTCAGAGCAGTAATGTTGGGGGTGTATTTGTGTGTGAGGTAGGAAGAGATGCTAAGGGCACTAAATTTTTCATAGAGCCAAAATGGGGAATGTGGCCCTGTGGTTAGGCCCTTTTTTAAATGCCTATTAGACATTTTTCCTGCACAGTGGTCAGCAGTCCCTAAGTTGCTTGGGCTCACAATGCACTTCTGGTACAGAAATAAGGGCTAGAAGCTGGGGCCCTCAGTTACCAACCAGGTACCTATCTCTGATATGACCTCTAAACTTGAAAAAGAATTTCTGTTGTTTCCTGGAGTTAGGTGCCTGTCATCTTGGCTTTTCTCACAGAAACAGACATTCACCTAGCCCTCTTGTAAAGCAGTAGGTGGAGATTTATTCTTAATTTAGGCAAATGAAGGGTCTTAAACCGGTATATCCCATCCATGTAATGTTCTGCTCCCCTGCAGGACTGGCATCTCTCTGATCTAGTGCACTGTTAAACATATAAGCAGCTCCAGAAGCAGATGTTGAGAATGTTCCATGTTATCCATGCTGGAAAGCATCTCCTTGTGATGGTGGTAGTGGGCTTGTGATCAGGTTCCTGCAGTAAAGGAGCAGAAGGGGGATGCAAAAACATCTCTTATCTGCACAATGAATCCCACAGACACATCTCTGTTGAACTGACATTCTTCTCTCAAAACTTTAGGCACCAATCAGAAAAATCTGAGTTTCTTCAGGTTCCCCTTACAGTAAGCAATACTGTAGAAATAATAGACACCTCTAGAGAATAATTCAGATTTTGATCTTTCTGTAATGATTAGAAAGAAACCTAATGCGACCACAATCATAATTTCAATGCCTCTGTTAAATACGTAAAGTTAAGCAGGAAACTAGGTTTTGGTGCCTGAGAACAGTATCTAGAAGCTGTCATCCTTGATTTCCAGGCTGGCCTTGATCCAACAGGCAGGTTTTGAGTATGCCTGCAGGCTCTGCATTTCACAGCTGAAGGTGTGTTATTTTGATAACTCCATCAGGGCTACAGTACTGAAATGTTCTAGAGACTCAAGAGCCCTGCATTAAGAGGTTACCAGACCCTGACTCCTTGTTATTGCACAAAAATGATGCAATGTAGAATTTAGGGAACAGTAATGGTTGGAGCAGTAAGACCTGTTATGATTTAACCTTTTACCATCAGCAGTAAATCCACTTGTATGTATGTGTTTTATAAGAACTGGGCAGGACACAGTGTCAAAGGATGTTGAAACAGGATTTTACAGTAGCTAATAGATACCATTTGCTGTAAAGAGAGCTCAACAAAGGCCCTGAGATGAAAAAAACACATCTATCAGTCCACATAAATCATATTTAAATTGTAATCACCCCAGTGAAAACCTAAGTAGAGCACAACTGTGATTCTCTATTTCAGAGGAAACCGTTTGTGGGTTAAATCATGCTGGGTGCTGCATTATCTCATGGCCTGCAAGGTCAGGTTTTCAAGGCTTAAAGTGTTTTCCTTCCTGTTAGGATAAACAAGGATTGGCAGGTTTCGTTGAATATATTGGAGGCATTAGAGCTAGCATAACTAAAGCTTTATGTAAATATAAAGAAACTTTGAAACTGGCATATGGAAGTAAAGGAAAAATACAATTCAGAACTAATAAAAATTATCTCATCTGTTAGACGATTTGACTACCATCTGGAGAGGCTGCACAATCATTTTCAAGCAGAGTAGAAATATTACTTCAAACCGCAGAATCATAACAGAAATATTGAAGTTGATAATGACAAGAACAAAAGAAAATATAAAAGATGTTTTTGGAACATAGCAAGCGAGAAACTCTGCCACTTCCAACCCTCAGAATAACCATATCATTTACTAACTTTAAAGGGCTCCTGACAACATTAGTTTCACACATTTGATCTGTAGTGAGCTCTTCATAACTGCCCTTTGTCAAGAGGTGTCTGAGTCATTTTTCTTCCTCACTCAAGGATTTTAGTTCTTTAGTTTGGTCTTCACTCAGAGTTCACTCAGCATCCTTAGAGCAGCACTGGGACAGGCGGTGCTGTCAGACACTGAGCTGTTTTAACCACACAGACTGTGACTGCTCAAAACAGATAAAAAACCCACAATATTGAAAACACCATCTGCTGTGGGAATGTTGTCCCCACAATGAGGTATGGGAGGGAAATGCCCACTGCAGTGCCTGTGTGAACACACCTCACTCTGTTAGGCAGGAGCATGCAGAGCAGTTCCCTCCCTTCATTTCAGGCAAGCAAGCAGTAGGAAAAGAGTCTGTCAAAAGCTGGGAAAACACCTTGGTATTTGAGTTTTAGCTGAAAGGGAATGACTCCTGCTCCTCATTAGGGAAGTTCAGTAATAGAAGAAATAAAGGTGATGCTTAATAGATGCTATGTTTCATAAAGACTTCCAATTTTATTTAGACATATGCTTGATCTTCAGTTCATGAATAATATTTTGTCCCTTGCCAAGGCTGTTGAACATGCTTGAGGGATTGCCGGAGGGGCTGCCCACAGGTGCCAAGAGCTGGCCAAACAGTCAGAAGAAAAAACATAGAAATGGGAGAAGTCCATCACAACAGAAACTTGTGCTGCAGACAACCCTGCTGTGACCCCACAAGCCCATCTTGACCATTGTAGTTAATGACTTGAGTAGTTTTCTAGGGCACTTAGCTCCAGACTGACATGTAGTACTATTTTTAGTACAAACTAATCACAGGCAAGTAAGCCTAAAATGCACAGTGTCTTTTTACTGTGTAGTCAGAGCTTTTCTGTTCCATGGATACTGTGAAAGTACCAGCAAATATGTACCACCACCAATAAATAGATATGCCTGCATTTTACACAGACTGTTCTGGTGCTTGGAAGATTTACACAGGTAAAAAGTGCAGTGGAGCTTGAAAAATGGATTATTGCTTGGCAAAGGCAACCTCCATGAAGAGCTAAGTGCTAGTGCAAACTAACTACTTAATACAACACAGCTGTTTTAAATTCGTCAAAGAAAATCACTGCCCTAGTCAAGAGGCTCTTTCTACCCCTGCTGTATTCTAGTGCTTTTGGGCTTGACAAAAATATATTTTGAAAATTCAGACTGAATTTGCATCAATTATATCTCAGATTTCTCAGAAGTTGTTAGTCTGACAAAACACAAATTTTTAAGGTCATCTGAAAGAAAGGCTGATGTGGAGTAGAGCAGGTGCAGATAGCCAGTGAGGTAAAACAAGCCAGATGCAAAGCTAGCAGGCAAACAAAAAGGTAAGACCATATTTTTCATGTGACCCTACAGACTTGTTTAGCAGTTTGAGTCTATGCCAAATAGTTCACTGCACCTCTAAAAATTGCTTTACTCTAAAAGAGTAATCTGAAAGATCCCTGGACTGCAGTCAACTTAATATCACACATATCTGCATCTTCAAAGCATTCTCTTTGGCTTAACATAGCAACAGAATCATAACTATTAGTGGTTATTTCAACCTTGAGGTAATTTGATGCCTCACTACCCCACCCACTAAGCAAATAAACTTACTTTGATGTCCCTTTAATGTGTCACAGAAGAGAGAAATAAAGGCCTTGTATTTAACAGTGTGAAAGATTATTCTGAAGATTATAATTTTCAAATGAATACCAAGACTAAATGTTGTATTCGTAGTCCATTCTTTCAGCTCCCTGAAATCTACCAACTCTGATGACAGAGATGACTTGCCAAGGCATTTCCCTACAAAATGGGAAATATTTTTTATTCCAGTCAGTCATTTATTCCAAAGATATTTATTAAGATGGACTTGATCATGGTGGCCAGGTACCCTGTAAGGCTCTAGCCCAATTCACTCTTCAACATCTACATGAGAGGTGAGTTGCAACTTACTGGACACTGGTAAATCATGCTCCAGCTTCAGCTAAAGGCATGCAATAATAACTGAGACTACTGCCCTGTATATCAGAGTATTTATTTTGCAACACAGTTCCATTCTTTCTCTGTCTGTAGCTAAAGTATGCCCTAGTTCTGTTCTAAACTCCACATGCTGCCGGGCAGACAATGAGCAGGAAACCCCACTTCTCAGAAGACTTGTTCCCCAGCTTAAATATTTCAATTCTACCACTAATTCCAGGGCCACTCATGTCTGTATTAGGAGGTGGAACTTAACATGATAGCTAAGTCCTTCGCTATTTTAATAGTAAGTAATGGGACTAAGGTAGATATATGGACTATAGGAACACTGCAGTGTTTATTCAGGTACAATGTTACAGCAGATATAATAGTTCTAGAGTAAACTGTAGACAGCAACACGTGATCTCACTGGAATTCAAACACAGTCATCCTTTTTTGACTTAATCCATAAATTTTAATGCATATGAGCAAGCAATCCTTGCATGTCAATCTCAACTCTCATCTTTCATATACATAGAGATACTAGATATATTTTAAAGTTAAGTAAAAAAAATGTAGCTTAGTATCCTTTGTTTATTCCTCAGACTACATGGATCATACATAGTGTTGGAAAAAGCTTATTCAAAGAACTCGTTTAAATAAAGATCAATTTGCAAATTGTACCAATGACTTTGTACAGACAAATAAATGTACATAGACATGTAAAAAATAGAAAATGCACAGGAAAATATGCACTTAATAAATTTGAAAAATATTAAGATTTTGAAAGCATTAAGACATCTGGGCGTATAGCACATGTAAACCATTTTGTGGTAAAACCAGAACTGATGAATTGCACAATCACTGGTATCCACTACAGTGTAATATAAGTCAGCTCTTTCCTGTACTCACTAAGCTGATGCTTCAGCAATAGGTTTTGGCAAAAACAAAACCAAAACCAAAAAAACAAAAAAACCAACCAAAACACCAAAATAAACAAAAACATAAAACCCAGTTAATGCATTAAAAAGATTTGTGTTCAGAACAGTAACAGCATGTGGATTTAAATGAGCTGCAATAAAAATCTTATCAGAAGCAGAACTATAATGCACCTGTCATCAATCATCTTAATACCAAAGACATCTGGCTTTATTTTGCATCTACTAATATTAATGATGATATTCTATCCTTCAGCTTTAAGGCCATGCAGCCCTGGATTTTCAGACCCAAAAGAATATATTACATCATTTACATACAATTATATTCTTTAGATAATCATATTGCTCAAAACCAAATGCTGACATTTTCAGTATTTACACACAGCTCCCGACCCATTTTTCATGTAGATCTCCATGCTGGGGAAAACCTTACAATGAAATTTGGGGATATTTGCTGTAAGCAATCAGCAGCATATTATACAGAAACAATCATACTATCTCAATAATTTTGTCATTATCTAAATTAGGAGCTTTTTCAATATACAGAAAGGTGCCTTAAATTAGGTATTCCAGATCCTATTTTGGAGGATACTCTATGTCATCTAGGATTCCAAACTCCATATTGCATGACAATTTCCTATTATAACTTTACATATCTTACCTGAAGAAGCACAAATTCACAAAACTATAGCTGAGCATCCAGACTGTTGGTAGATACAGGATCTTAGGCAAATACTAAATGTTGTGCCATGAATTATTAGCCCTACTTCTATACAGGGTAGCCCCTCTGTGTGCTACTAAGGCATGTAAGATGATCATTAGTTCCTTGCTACAATATGTTTATTCCCTGACGTTACTTGTGGCTTCCTTTCCCAAAATAGAAGCTAGTGGAGGATTATATGCAAAATTGTGATAGGGAAGCACAACATAGAACTCAGCAGATCCTTAGTTAGACTTGCACTTGCCTGGTTAAAACACCCTTCTCTAATGCATGGTGGTAGAGTGGTGCCTTGATTGCCTGCTGTGTGACTGGAGGAATAAAAATCCATAACTGGATAATTTGTAGGAATAGCAGTCCCGTGGGCTGCCACTAACCTTTCACCCAGCAGCTAATCCTGCATTGTGCACGGTTTCTCATTGGGCACTACAGCTGTGAATGAGTGAGCTGCCAGTGCTGTGGGACCAGCACACAGCTTCTCCCTGGAGTGTCACTCACAGAAGGTCTGCAAACACTGGGAATGTAGCTGGGCTACAGCATGAAACTGCAGTTCAAAGAAGGTCTGAACTGAAACGGGCATTCAGAGAAGGTCTTATCTGTGCCAAGCAAGAGATGCTGGCAGTGTATTTTGCTGCCATCACATCACACACTTCTTACGATAGATGAATTACCAGATCCTGAAATTCTTGTGTGCTTGCAAGTTGGATTTTTGTTATGTTTGTGGTACTGGCTTCACACATTGGCAAGTATTTTATAAAAAATCATTAAAGAAATGGCACTTCCGTGCAGGAAGAGTACTTGATTGGCTTACAGACCAAGGTAGACACTGAAGCACTTATCTAAGCATTCTTCCTGCATATGGACACCCTCCTAAACTGGGACCATAAATAAATTTATGTCAACAAATTTACTATACTTACATGTTACATTGAGACTGTTACAATCAATCTCAAGTGTAGGTTACCTATCTCCCTATTAGCTTCTGAACATGCAAAAAAGTAGATATCTGTTCCATCTAAGTTACAAAGAAGAGATGTGTTTTCACTAAGAATACTAGAGTTCAAAACTCAGCATCACCAGTAATATGCTAATAGACATTTTCAGATTCTACAAACCAAATGTCTAAACAGAAAAGATTTGATATGGAAGGGAAACCTGTCCACATTAAATAAAACTCTTTCAAATGGAATGTAGTCAGTTTCTAAATACATTCAAATATTACAGTGTCTCTATAAATAGAAAACTAGATAGTGCTGAAGACCTAAAACAGCCCTTTCCAAATGTTCAAGTCAATATATAGATCTCTTTTTACTATCAATAATACACACTTGCTTGAACTACAGCTTTTCTAGTCTTTGGAAACAGTTCAAGTAACTTCCCCTCTTCTCTCCTTTGCAACTCTCCATCTTCCATTTTCACACAACAGAGTCACCAGGGCTTATCTTAATTTCACAAGGTTTTTGGAAAAATACGTTCCAAACTCTCTTTGTGTGCATGCAGTCAATCAAGGAAGCATATAATAAATCCACTGTGGTCCTTCAACTGTCACTCAGGCAGTGGCACTTCTCTAGTCTCGGTGCTATATCCAAGAGAGGCTATGTGCTGACAAACTGCCTCTTACTTGCACAGAGCCTGCTGAGAAGGATTTCAGAATACACTTGATTTATTGGACCTCGGACATGATATGGGGACTGAGAATTTGTTGCATAGTCCTGCAGTTGTGATGGTTTGCTTTGACTGCCGAAATATTTCCCCAGTGTATAGTGCCTCGATAACGTCATTGTTATGTGTGGCCTTTCTTCAGAGGGATTGGATTTCACCACCTGCAAAAGAAATGACATATGTGAGTGCTTTCTGCCTGCACCTAGAAAGACAGACACACAGCTGTTTGTGTAGAAATGCTGAGGCAGTTGTCCATGAAGCAGGTCCTGATACTCCTACCTTGAGGCACAAGTTGCTCATAAACATTATTTTAATTGCCAACTTATTATGTTGCAAACTTGCAAACTAACTAAAGAGCAAGATCTTAATTTTTGAAATCTACATGCTCATTATACTCCGTTGTTTGACTTTGTAATGCCTTTGTGTATTAGACTCTGTTCTCTTCATTAGAGACAATTTACCTAAAACAGTAAAATTCATACTAAACAGCTAGTCTGTATATTTTTAGCATGTGGAAAAACAAACTCATGCCTGCTCCAAATTGCAGAAAGGTTTAAATCTTGCTCTGATACCAAGCCCTTGAGGAACATATAACGTGGCTCAGCTATAAGCCATGTGAGAATGCCTCATTCTGAAGTCTTGATGCAAACCTGGCCCAGCTCCACATTGAGATGAAAACCCTCATGTGTTGTGTTTCTTCAAGAAGGGAGTTATGGTGCAATTTAACATTCCTTTCCCCAGAACACCACAGGGACAGAACCACAACATGATTCAGTAACTTATTGTTGAAGAATGCTTCACTTTGGCCTCTGAAATATGTATAAAGTTCTGGGATGATTTTATTCAACTTGTATGGAATAAAAACATACTCATGGGACTAACAAGTCAGAAAATGAAAGGTATGGTTGTCAGGAGCTTAACAACTGGAGGGATGATCCCCTGTGAAATGCTGAAGGTCTTGTCTCAGTGAATACCCAGTCACTGATGAATAATGAAGCAGCTTTGAGAGAGACAAAACTTTAGAACCTTGCAGATAATATGCAGGGCAGAGGATCTCAGCCCAGGCAGTGGCAAACCCAGAGAATGCAGAAAAGATGGTTAACTTATTTTTAAAATAGTATATATATGCTGACTTGATAGCTCTGATGTCCATGAGTTTTCCTGCTATATCAATCACAGCAGACACATGAAAATGCAGAATTCGTTTATTAATGAACATATTTATGCATGTTAGCTTTTAATAATATAATATATATTTACTGTCACTGAACAATCAAAATCAACACTCATATGTGGTGAAGCTTATAATAAATTAAATAAATAATACAAAATTAGGTGTGAGTGAAGAAATAACATATGCAAAGGCTTGAAAGACTGAGCAGAGAGACTATGAGGGAGCTGGCAGAACTGAAAACAGGAATTATCCATGTAGAAAATTAATATATCCTCTGATCAATTTCATACAGCTAAGCCAAGGGCTATTATTTGTTTGCATGCAATTATGTATGTTCATTTTTCTAAATTAGTGCCTTAGATCTTACAATTATTTCAAAATGATGCCACCTTGAACCAATCACCCAAACTGCATTCCTGTTAGGCATAATCTCACAGGAATGCAATCTAATGTTCACCCAGCCACCAGCAGCCAGACACTGATTAAGATACAAAAATCCCAAAGTTGCTAATTTCTGTGCAGTGATTATGATTTCACTGCCACTAAAATAGGAAATAAATCTGAATTTTAAAATAGTTCCTGTAATAATTGTATAGTGCTGATATCCATAAGAATTTTCAAAGAATGAGGCAGATAAAAAAATCAAGTTTTCATGTGTGCATAGAACTAGAATTATGCTAGGGTTATGCAAGATATTTTATCCCAGCTCAGTATAATCCCTGTGAAAGTCCAGATCCCTTAGAAATCTGAGCAAAGATTGTAAAGTCTACAGAGATGGAGATTTCTGTGCTATCAGGGTCACCTGAGACTCTCTGAAATGTGTGGGTGGGAACTCAAATAATTCTTCAGGCCATTCAGAGGAAATAGCTTTCTCTTCAGTGAGCTAGTGAGAACTAAATGAGAACTGCTGAAGGCGTTTCAGTTCTTGTTTTTTGAGTGCACAGTTTGGCCAGTCCTCCATTCCTGCACAGCCATGCTTTAGCTTGGATGGCATTTATAGAGGGGTGCCATCTTCTGAGACTTTAGGAATTTCCATTTTTAAGAGAAAGAAAGTGAAAGTACAAAGCACAAGATTTAATCTGCTTCATCTGGTTTCAGAAAACATGAAAAGTGCTGGGGTTTTACACAGTGTTCTTGGCTTTATCCTTGGGGGCAAAATGCCATTTTTCTGGTGCAAACTGCTTCAGCACCTAATGAAAACTTCACTAGCCAGGATGCAAAAATAAGCTGATGACAAAACTATTAAAACTAATGAAGTATCAAAAGGACTCAAAGACTTTCTTTTTGCTTTCCTCAAGGATCAAATCTGGTTTTTGTTGCATGATGGATTCTAATGGGCATATCTATAGCTCTTTCAGGCACCTCTCAAGCCTCATTAATAACACCTCTGTGAGCCAAATTCTCCCCTGATCCTCCCCAGAAACTCATGCTCTGTTGAGATTCCTTCAGCATAGAAGCAAGACTAACTCTGCACATGAGCTCATACAAAATGATGGAGGAGTACATGAAAAATGCTGATGACTGATCACGCACTGCTGTTTTTCTACCCAGTTCCATACAAAGCATTTGAAATATCTAATTTTGAAGCTCTCTGTTTCACTCACAAGATCTGTGGAAATGGCAAACATCAGCAATCAGCAATCATGCACAAAAACACCACCATCTAGGTTCTAGATAAAAAAGGGTCAGTAAAGCTGTCTGGGTAAAATGGAGGGAAACATTTGCTCCATGGAACTATTTATCAATCACGTAAATATCTGCTCTGTGACTTACTCCCTCTTTTCCAGCTTCATTTGGACTGAGCTATGTTTGTGCCTCTCAAGTATTGAGCAGAGTATATTAGAGAACTGGTTAACTAACCACACTGCTGGTGTTGGCCCCAAAGCATGATAGAGGCCATGGCACTAGCCTGAAAACACGTGAGCTGCCATGAAGTCTGAGGTGGAAACCAGCTGTGAGGCTGACACATGGCACATGAGCTCACATGTGTCTGATAACACTCCCCAAAAAATTCTGTAGGTTTTAGTCCAGAAAGCAGGACTACGGGTGTGAGTGAGAACAAGTAATCTCCCTTTCTGTTTGTACAGTGGATCATGGTAACTATTCCAGATAATTTTTTTCTCAGACATAGGAAAACAGATATACAGCAGTAAGATTGGTTCTTAAATTTTAAGCTCCGTTTTAACTGTACTTATGGTCTCATGTAAGTGTGCTGAGCTGTTCAGTTAGGAATGCATCAGTCAAAAACCCGTGAGACTGAGTAAAACGAGAAACTGAGTCCATGCAGAAATAGCAGAGATATATAACACATAACAAATAATACAGGAACCTGAAAATGGTGCAACATTCTTTTATATGAGTTACCTTTGCAGAAGGGCAAGCTTATTTTTATGTCACCATGCCAGCAGTTCAGCATGTCCTTGGGTTGCCTTTCACTGTGAGCAGTGACAGATAAGTGCCACCATACAAACTGCTTTCGCCACGTTTTGTATTCAGGCCTAACTTTGAGTGACAGACGCTGACCTCACCAGATACCTTCTTGTTTCTAAGATCTGACAGTCAAAATATCTTAACTACCCAGGAATGATATAAACGTAAACTATTACCTCATGGAAATGGCAGCCGCACTTCCCTCGCAGGAATTCTTTGTAACGTCCCATGGTGATGACAAATGTGTCAACCACTTCATAGCCCAAATTTTTTGCTGTATCCAGAATAATCAAGTTTTCATTCCACAATTTTTGCACTTCTGCCTGCATTCCAGATAAAATGTTGCAATGGTTTGTCAGAAGGACTGTTTAAAGGTTATTGTGTCATGGAAAAAATAGCAAAATTGTGTTTTGAATAAGCAATTATGTTATACTACAGACACGGATTACTATAAATTCACTCTTGATAAAAGCTACTACTCCAAGACTGATGTAGTCAGTAGGGTTTTTTAGAGAAATTATAATTACTTTCCAGTAGATGTGCAGCTTCCTTTATAGGAAGATTTCATGACTGTTTAAAATATAAATCTTGGGTAATGGTTTGTAACATGTATTTCACTAATATGAGGTGTAATTCAGAAAAAAATTCCACTAATAAAGTTTGTCTGTAACAAATGGTGAAACCACTCCTTTAAAGAAAAATTCAGCTTCAAATCAAATTCATTGAAGCAGTTGCTTAAAAGGGACTATAGGACCATAGGTATCTTAAATATGGTTATACTGAAGAGCAGATTATTATTTCTGAATATATTTCAGGAAGACCAAGAATAGAAAAACAGTTAGCCATAAAGTTGGTGAGGCAGTGGATTCGACACGGCAGACAAAAGGCCTTTGAGAGTAGCTGGGGTAATCCTGAAGCCTAGAGCATACAAACCAGATGGGTAATTTGGCATATGATTCCAATATTGAAAGGAAAAAGAATGTTGGTTATGCACTGTAGCTGATTTCTGGAGTTTTGTAAATTTAATGAATAAGAAAAAGTCTTAGGAAGCCTTTAATACTCTATCCTTGTGTCACATACCCTGAATTGAAGCTCTTCATCCTAGGATTGAATTTTGTGAAAACTATGACAGGAGCTATGAAAATGTTTCTTCGTGATGATGACAACAATTTCCTTACTCTTCTATTTAGGTTCTCCAGATAAATTAGGAAAATGGTTTGAATCAATAAGAAGGCATTCACTAGAGACAAGGCAGATAGGCAGTACTAACTTAGAAAGAATGGGAAAATCCAACAGGGCAGTCTGTAGCAAAGAGAAGGGTGAGAGTAGCAGGAAGTCATATGCTAAATACAGCAGAGTGTTTTGGTTGCAAAAGAATGTGGGTGCTAGTCCCCAGCACAAGAAGTGCTGTACATAATCTGTGAAAGGCAGTAATTTTCTCTTTTCAACACCTGGGAATAGCTGGAGCATGATACACAGCACTGGTAGGCATCATTTACTCTGTTCTGCCTTCCAGTGCTTCTCATCCAGGCATTTTATGTGTGTTCGATAGAGAATCATTGTCCAAGTTGTAAATAAAAATAATTAATTGAGTTACACAGTGCATTGAAATGAGCACGTTTGTTACTCTGAGAGTCTTGGATATGATTTAAACTGATTGTAACATCTGATTAACGTGCAAATAACAGGCTGGATTCACTGGTACATTCCAGCTGCTCTGTAATGTTCTGGCTTCATAGGTGGGTCAAGATAGATTTATTGAGTTGTGCAATCCAGACAAGTGAATTGGATCCAGCAGTAACCATGGAGGAAGCCTGGGGAGGGCCTATGCACAATGTAGTATGAGGAGCAATCTGCTTATCCCCAGCACAATCTCTGAATTTTGGCAGCAGGATTAATATTGGAGCTTCCTCTGGTTCTTGAGACAGCTGACTAAGCATGACATCTCAAATGGGTCTCTGATTGCAGCAGAATCCATGAAATAAGGAAATTGGTTTGAAACCCTATTAGTAAATAGTATGAGCAAATACAAACATTAATCGTCCTTTGATCCATTTACACTGTGCTCAGCAGACATAACATATTTTGACCAGACAGCAAAATTAATGATGGCATGACAAGTATTCCATGAAAATGCGATCAAAATGTACTGTAGCTTACCTGTGATAGAGAATGGACTCCATCCACTGGAAGGTGAAAGCCCATCCCTATGGATTTGACAATTACCAGGATGTTTGATAGATTTTCCCTGTTTTGCAAATTTAAAAAAAAACAAGGACACATATTTTACTTATGCCTTCAATCCATGACCAGCACACAGACACATCAAAAGACAATACAAGTTTTATTTTTTTCCAAGTCACTTAACTACACACCTATGAAAAAAACAAATTAAAAGCTTGTATTTAAAAATTTTTGTTGTTTCTCAAAATTTATCATATCAAAAACTGGAATAACACCAAGTACATAACATTACCTGTTCAACACCTTTTGAATAATTTGCAGGTGATTGGAGTTAAGCCACTGAACACCACCTACAATTAACACGGTCTGGTGTGTGTTCTCCAGGGGACGTGATCTGAAACCCAGAAAAGAAAAACAACACATGTTGCTTGAAACAGATGGCAAATATTTTAACTACATTGCTTTGCATTTCACTGAACTGTATCTGGCACCCTGATCAGATGCCTGATGTAATTTTCAGCTATTTTTTAACCACACAATATGGTCTGTGCATGTTATGTTTTATTGTTTACTGACTTTAATTGTAAAATGTGTTAAACACATTCATGAATAGAATGATAATACAAACAAATACAGATACAGATACAGATACAGATACAGATACAGATACAGATACAGATACAGATACAGATACAGATACAGATACAGAGTTTGTGCAGTACCTCTGCAGCAGCTGTTCTAGTGCTTTTTCAAAAGTTGGCCTCTGGTTTGCATTCATCCAGAACTGGGGGTAGTAGGAGTAACTGATAAATGTTTTCCCCTCATTGATATTGTGATAACATTTAACATCATGAGTCTTCTGCCATTCCTGAAGAGTCTTATTCACTCTTTCAATTAGATAATACATCATGCCTCTGTTAGTTGAGTCACCTATAAAAAGAATCTTCAGATGGAAGAGATAAGACTTAAAAGTTGCACAATCCAGAAACCAAAAGCTAATAGAAGAATACAGGTAGTTGGGAGGTTTTTAAATGCTTCTCATAATATCCAGACATATCTTTGTAAACTGCAAGTACCCTGGCATCTTAATACTAAATTTAGCAAAATCGGTGTGATTTGATTAATAAAAAAGCTTTATTATGTATTTTAAAGGCAAAAAGTACAGGTTATAGATGACTATAGCTGCAAAATTTGCCCTGCATCTTTCATCCTTGGTGATAATTTCTTTTGCTTAAGTTTATATTTACTTCTAATTGCTAGTACACAATTGCACTCATGATTGCTTGCAGCTTCCTGCCTTTTTTCCTAAAATTTTTCATGTGGTTTGTTCCTACACAGCATGCATTGGTCTTCTATAAATGGGATTCATTAGAATTTATACCAAAGTAACACACCCACACCCACACACCTCATGAAGGATGCAGCTGCTGCCTTATTTGTAGAGGGATGGTCTTTCTGCAGGTTCAAAGGGGAAAGAAAAGGGAGTTATTTGGGTGGAGGATCATCTGAATAGAGTCCTGTCATGTGTGATGTGACCAGAAAGCATCATGGCTTGAAGGGAGCTAGAAATCTTGCCAGGATGACAGTACTTTAAGTATAGCAGTCTCTGCTGGACTACCCTGAACTTGCAAATGAATAAAGTTAAATTTGGGTTTACTCCTACTCATTCTGTAGATTCATCTGAAAAAACGAACATCTCTGTATGGGGACACTACAGAATCGAAAGTGTTGTAGTAATTTTATTGTAATGCTTTTTCCCTATTTTGAGTGGATAGGACTAGAATTTCCTTCTGATGAAGCAGGTAATAGAAAGCAAGTCCAAAGAGTAGGAGAACCCAGGTTCACTGTGGTTTGCCAGTGAAACTGTGGGCAGAATCAATTACCCCAATCAGCTCAGCCAGAAATCCACAAAGAGGAGCAAACAAGTAAAACTGAGATTAAGAAACCCCACAGAGCCATCACACAGTAACAGCCCTGTTCTCTGCACAGAAGTACTCAGCTTCTTCTACCTCCTCTGGCACTCAGGGTAGTAGGCATCCCATAACTTGGGATTTTGTTGTTTCGTTCCTTAATTTGATTTGGAGTTTGATGTATTACCACTTACACCTTGAATATTTGATTATGCAAAAAAAATTCAGGCTGCATAAGATGACATGTTTAAAGATATATTTCCAAAGGTTTTTTTTAGAGATTTTATATGGTAGAGGTATTTTGGACTACACTAATCTAACACATTTATCTATTTATCTATCTATTCCCTTCAGGAATGTCAGTTTTGAAAACTGATTCCACTTCCCACTATTAACCTATTGTGATTAAAAATAAGCCACAACAGTGTACCAATGATACTTCCCACAGAAGAGAAGGAATATCAGATGAGCCTACCCTCATCTGATGTTAATAACAAGAACATACATGACAATGCCTTCAACTTGCCATGCCTTGCCCATTGTGGGCTGCAGAGAAGTCCTTGATAGATTATGTATGGTAGTAAACAAATAAAAATTAGCACTGAGATCAGAGGATCTTCTAACTCCCATCTTGGACCTCTCAAAGCCACTTCATAGAGGATATTCTTAAACAGCTACTGTTCACACTGTTATTGCACAAGTATTTCTCTTACACGCAAGGGAGTTTCCAGCTTTCCACATCATGTCAGAAGAAACCTCTTTAAATCAAGCATAATATGACTCACAGAAGTCAAGGATCCTTGGATCCATGGAAGGACTGGTCGGATATTCTCTCTTTCCCTCTCTGACAGACACACACATGCATAAAATTATTTACAATTAGGAAGAGAGTCCATGCTTAGAATATGTCCTAATTCTAAAGTAGGTTAACTTGAGGTTTTAAGCAACCATTCTTCTAGGTTGCAAAATCTTTTGATTCTCCAGCCGGTCTATACCCATGTCTCTTTAATCTCCATTTCATAAGCCCATCACTATAGTATCTTGATGAATATCTATTTAAAAAGCAATTCTCAGATATTCTCAAGCAAGGACATCATGAGCTTGTAATGTGGGTGAGAACATTTCTGTAAAAACCCAACACATCATTAGCAGAATAACAAACAGGCCCTACCAGGTTACACACATACAGCAGTCAGTAGAACATATAAGACTGCTTCTCTTCTAGTATCACATTACACCATTTGTTATCACAGCACATGGGAACTGCAAAGAAGCATATTCAACTATTAATTATATGAAACTGGCAGATGGGAAATTTTTATCTCATTCGTGTGACTAGAATTCTCATCATTGTTTTCTTCTGACTATACTTGATCTAATCTCATGTACTATTGATTTCAAATAGCAGGACAACAACTTCCATGGAAAAAAAAAAGAAAACGACCATGGCTATGTCAATGAACATGATGCACAGATGTCTTTTTTTGCTAACACTGTGCAGTTTAGGTGTGAAGAGTCATGCCAAACATTTCCTAAGTCTCAAACACTGCAGAGCATCAAAGATTAAGATCTCTTTCCCAATTTTTTTTAATGTCAAAATTAGAGCAAAACACATACACACATCCCAATCGACACTGTTACATGATTTAGCATTTCAGGGCTTTGCAATTTTTCTATACCTACATAGGTACATACACATAAACAGTGGACCCATGAATGAATTTTCACATCTGCCCTGGAGTACCTTTCTGGCCAAAATCTAGAGATGGAAGTGCACTATGTGCAGTCATTTAGTGAACCCCTACCAGAAGAAATGATCATGTCTTAAAGTGGCAGGTCTAGTCTGGAAATGCCATTATACTGGGCACCATATGAAACTATCACGTGGGCCTTGGCATATTACTATTGTTGTTGTTGTCCTGATGTTCTGACAATAGGAGTCAGAGCAGATTCCTTTAGAGCAATTAGCATAACTAGATGAAACAGACAACTGTTAAGGCCCTGACATACATCTTCAAATACCATTGCAAGACTGATGAGACTGCACTAAGCCTATTTCCAAATCAGGAATGAGAAAGATAGCAACATCACACCGGCTAAGAATACAGGCTGTACCACTAGGGAAATTAACCTAGACTTTTAGAAACAGGTCTGCTAAGAGAATAGTCAAGGCTGGCTGCAAGTGGGAAAGAAAGAAATGAGCCAAAGTGGAGTTGTGGTTGTAGAGAAAGACAGATCAAAAGGGGAGGTCATCCTTAAAGATGTCAGACAATTATAGTAACCAGATTAGCTTACAGTCATGAAGTCTGATTGTTCAAGTAAGTATGAGCCACATCAGGACTGTACCACTGGCATCAGTCAGATTTGTTTAACTCTGTCTTCCACGGTGAAATCACATTTTTTGAAAGGTATGAAAACTAGGTCTGCAATATGTGAAACCTGCCCCTGCCCTCTAGCTCTGAGAGAGAGCTCTAAAGTGTGAAGTCATCATGGGACAATATCAGCAGTCATCCTCTGGTGACTGTGTGCTGGGATTTTGAAAGGAATGCTCTCTCATAAGTTGAAAGAAGATCTCAGATAGAAAGATAGGTGTGCATTTCTTGTAATTTGATGCACTCCAGGCTGGTGGATGCTTAGCACATCATCAGCACATCTGCGCACACACTGCATCCATTAAGATTTTGTCTACATACAACAATCTGCTTCTAACCAATGGTTCAACCATGATGTGAGATGTATAAATCCTGGAAAAAAACCCCAAATTTTAATTTTTCTTCTCCACAAAACAAAACAAAAAAAATTTGAAGTGGATGAAGAGGAAATCTGTAGATAGTCCTACCCTCTTCTCAAACTGCCCTTGTGCAGAGCTAGCACAAGGTATGCAGGCCATCAGGAAGCATCTTTCAAAGTCCACCTTTTGCAAGTCAGTTTCATTTTTAGCAAATACTTGGAGGACTCAAAGGCTAAAATAAGTGGTGTTTAGCCTGAGGAAGAAAACCTATGTCCTTCAACTAACTCAAGAGTTCTGATGAATTAAAATAATCTCTCAATGTAATTGAATGTATGGTAACTAAAACCACATTTATTTCTATACAGTCAATTAACCCATTGTAGTTGGATGTGCCATGTAGTATTTAATATGTTTTGAACAAAAGGCTCCAAGGATGATTCTGCATTTATCTCTTTGATAATAATGAGGAACATGATGGCTTAGGTGACAGAGTAAGCCATATCTCATTTGTTTTACAAGTCTGGCACAAGATTTAGCCATGTACTGTGCAAGTTGATGGGGCAGTTGTCTGCAGGATGACTAAATGATCAGACAAACATAAGGTTATAATTTTACCAGACAAAGGACAACATTTCCACACAGACAGATGCTTTCACTCTCTTCTGTTGCAAATATTTTGTGTAAAAGATTCCATTATAGCTTAAAGACTTTGAAAGATTGTGTAAACATAGTGGAATTCACTTCTTAACCAGACCTATCATTAAAAATTAACCACACTTGGGAAATTTAAACACCTGTAAGTTCAAAACACTACTTAATTCTAAAATATTATTAAGAAATCATAAGTTAAAATTCCTGTTTTAACAGCTGAATTTTAAGTACTTCAGCAAATATTGCCTTTTCATATTTCCTGTTCTTAATTACACTTGACTCAATGGCATTTTATTCTAATACTAAACTCTGGTTAGTATTTCTCAATGATAAGCAAAATATATATCCCTCCTGCTATTGAAGCCAACTTTCTATATACTGCTAATTGGATAAATAATAGCCTGTTAGAACCCATTTTCCTTTGTCCATTTTTAAAAGTAAAAAATCAATCTTGTACAAAAATCAAAGCATTATCTTAATACATTTGTATGTCCTACAGTAAAAAGTCCTTAATCACAGCTACAGAGAATTTTGTTGAGCCAACATAATATAGATATATTTTACTGTGATATCTAATATATTATTATGAACAATTTATTTGATTCAATTAGGACATATATATGGAGTTCCCTAAGAATGAGACAGTCAGCATCTCATTACCTTTAAAGTGGAAGAGAAAAAAGACTGCTGATATTAAAAGTGTACTGAAAGAAAATCTACTCAGCCATCTCCACCTTAACCTCGGCACTTCAAAATTTTCCTGTTTACTATGTATGAAATACAAACATATGACTGACTATTCTTGCTAACACATCATAAAGCAAAATAAGGCCTCATAAAACTGTTTCTGGGCATGTACATATTTTCTCATGTCTCCATCAGCTTGGGTGTTATTGTTTCACTACAGATGGTCTGATGTTTTTATGAAACCAAGTGTCCTGGTTTTGGTTGGGATAGAATTAATTTTCTTCCTAGTAGCTGGTACAGTGTTGTGGTTTGGATTCAGGATAACAATAATGTTGGTAACACACTGATGGTTTTGTTGTTGCTGAGCAGTGCTTACACTGTCAGGGACTTTTCTGCTTCTCATTCTTCCCGGATAGAAAGGATGATGACACAAAAAGCTGGGAAGGGACACGGCCAGGATAGCTGACCTCAATTGGCCAGCAGGATATTCCAAACCATTTGGCATCATGCTGAACAATAAAACTGGGGGGAATTAGTTGGGGGGCAGCAGCTGCTGCTCTGGGATGGAATGGGCATCGGTCAGTGGGTGTTGAGAAATTGCATAGTGCATTATTTTGTGCAATTATTATCATTTTTACTACTATTTTTCCTTCCTCTTCCATTCTACTAAACTGTCTTTTCCTGAACCCACAAGTTTTACCTATTTTCTGATTGCGTCCCTCATCCCTGTGGGCAAGTGAGTGAACAACTGTGTGGTGTTCAACCTGACAGGTTAAACCAAACACACAGAAATAACTTAGTTCAAACAGTTTTATATGCACACAAACTAATACAGCAGTTAATGGTGATGTGAAAGCAATTGGAACTCATAGCCAGGGAAATGGATTTCGGTTACAGAGAAAGATTATCAATCTCAGATGAGCTTTGGAAAACAAATCAATTTTAATGTAAGAAATATGGAGTTAGAAAGCCAATTAGAAAGCATTTTTGAAGGCTTGATTATGATGCAGCTAGGAAAGAAGTGCTCTGTTTGGATGACCATAAATATATTTCAGAAAAACTGACGAATACAAGAAATTAGTGACCAAGAGATACCTGCTGCCTCTTATCATTGTTATATGAAACATGAGAAAAACAGAAAGGCTGCACTTAAAGACAGAGTTGGTTTTCCATGTGCTGCATTTCAGTCAAAAAGAGCATTCACTTTACATCTTAATTCATCACTTGCTGAAGTGAATACAAGTCAGGATCACAGCACAGCACTAAAATATTGCATGTTTCCCATGAATGCTTTCACATTAATTAAAAGTAGAAGTATAAGTAGGCTTTTTTTCATCTTTTTTTTCCTCCCTTATAAAACTAATAGAGAAGCACATGAAAACAGCCTCCAGCTAACAAAGTTGAAATATGACAATGTTAATCAGTAGATTAACACCTCCTATTTAAATTAAAAAATGTAATCACATACTGATGCTGTTTATGTCTTCATGATCATAGAATCATGGAATGGTTTGGGTTGGAAGGGACCTTAAAGATCATCTAGTTCCAACCCCCTGACATGTGCAGGGAACCTTCCAGTAGTCCAGGTTGCTCAGAGCCCCATCCAGCCTGGATCTACGATGGCAAGTTCACAGCTTCTCTGGGCAACCTCTGCCAGACCCTCACAATCCTTAGAGTAAAGAATTTCGTCCTGGTATCTAAATCTACTCTCTTTCAACTCAAAGCCACTCCCCATTGTCCTATCACTACATGCCCTTGTAAAAGGTCCCTCTCCATCTCTCTACTAGATCCCCTTCAGATGCTGGAAGGCTGCTCTAAAGTCTCCCCAGAGCTTTCTCTTCTCCAGACTAAACAGCCCCAACTCTGTCTTCATAGCCTGTCTTCTTCTGTCTGTGAAGTCCGTCTTCATAGGAGAGGTGCCCCAGCCCAGTGATCCACTCATGGGCCCTCCTCTGAACTCATTCTAGAAGTCAGAAATTTTCTTTTGCTCAGGACCCCAGAGCTGGACACATTACTCAAGGCAGGGTCTCAGCAGAGCAGAGGGAGAAAATCACTTCCTTCAGCCTGCTGCCCATCCTGCTTCTGATGCAGCCCAGGGTATGTTTGGCTTTCTGTGCTGTGGGCACACACTGCTGGCTGCCATGTTGAGTTTTATGTCCACAAACACCCCCCAAGTCCTTCCCACCTGGGCTGCTTTCAGTCCATTCTCTGCCCAGCCTGTATTTGTGATTGGGATTGCCCTGATGCAGATGCAGGACTTTGCACTTGGCCTTGTTGAACTTCATGAGGTTCACAGAGGCCGACCTCTCAAGCCTGTCAAGGTCCCTCTTGATGGCATCCCTTTCCTCCCGCATGTCGATGGCACCACACAGCTTGGTGTTGTCAGCAAACTTGCATACAATTCCTCTGTCCTTGCCAACAGCAAAGATGTCCTGTCTAAGGGATTTTGAAATCCAGAGACCAAATTTACACAAGCTGAATATTCAAAACCCCTGAATAAAGAGGCACACAGGCTAGTTGAGCCTATTTCGGGTGGACACATGAATGAGTTTTGCTGTTCTTAGCTAACTTCAGCAAACAGAAATGTAAATCAAACAGCATTCCAGATCACCTCAGTGTCCTCACTTGGGCTGATGACACTGCCCTTTTGTTTTGGCATTTGTGCTTTTTTTTTTGACACCTGGTTTTGTTTCCGGCATTGAAACCTTCTGCCTATTTTGTTACGGAAACTATATATATGGAAGATACTCAGTTTGAGACAGTGATCTCTGTAGTACTTAGACACAAAGTATATAAAAAATCAAAACTAAAATCACAATTGAGAATAGATAAATATTTAAAGATGGTTATGAAAATATATTTTAAAATAAACATGCATTTGTTCACAATAATTATATCTTCCTACTACTCAATAGTGCCTATATAAAAGGTCTAAGTAAGTACAGGTTTAAGTAATCCTGCATAACACAGACAAAAGTCTTTTTCAGTAACCAGATGAAAAAAAATCTTTTTCTACTACATCACTTGAGCAGGGTAAAGTAATTCCAAAGCTTGACTTATCAAAGGCAGAATCAGGATCTTATCAGCCAATAATGGAACTATTTTTATTCATCTGACTTTGGTAGGAAGAAAGCCTCTCTTAGTTCTTAAGTTGTATTGACATAAAGGAGTTGATCCAGGTTCTACATTTATTTATTTGGTAAAAGAAGAAAAAATGCTATTGCAAAATTTCAGACAAAACTAAAATCACTATGAAGTTGTGACAAAAATAGCATCTGAGAGAAAGAGATAGGAGAAATATACCAAAAAGGGAACATGCTTTAGAATGATGACTTTAAAAGAATAAAGCAATTCAATATACATCTGTGTAAAAGTAACAGAGGTTATTCAACAGATTTCTACAGAGCAGCAAAGGTTATCAGACAGTGTCAGGAGACTTCTGTAAAAGATGCACAATGGGAAACAAGTGCTATTAGTTACAGAGATTTTCTCAAGGTGTTAATGTAGCTCACTTAGGATTTGGCTGTCATCTGACACTAGACTAGATCAGTGACCTCAGAGAATTAGAACATCATGGAATTTGAATTAAGAAATTAAGCTTCACAGACACTAATTTAATTTACTTGATTTAAACAGACCCTTTAAAAATGCTGTCCTGTTTTTGACACTCATGAATATGAGCAGTCCAGATTTGGGGTGTGGAAATGCCAGCAAATCCTCTCAGATACACCCTGGCAATCTACTTCTATAGTGGCATATTGTTTGTCTGCTGTCCTTCAGTTGCCTGACCAAAGGGTAACTGCTTGTCAAAGCACTCTGATGTCCATGGAAATTAAAGATCAAAGCAAAGCAATCTAATTCTTGAATATTTTTTTCTGTGGTCAATCCAGAAGACCTTGTTTTGTACAGGAGAAGCAAATGAAGCTTCCTGTCATAAAAAGCAATATTATTTTAGAAAAATATTCTAGGAGTAACCTGCAGCTCTGTAGTAACAAAAAATACCACAGGCAGAAATAAAGAAAAATGGCAATAAAGTACTTTGTGCAGGGCAAGAAATTGATCAGAAATTAAGGAGAAAATGTTAATTTAAAGACTATTATTTTTGTATTTGTCTATATGGAAATGCTTTTGGATTTTGTCAAAATGCCACTTTTAGTAACTATTTTATTACCTAGACAATACACTTTAAAAAGCTTTATAATAATTAATTACTTACTTTCTGGATACTTGTATCCTCAGTAAGGTACCTGAGCCTCAGATCAGAGCTCTCTCTCAACAGTATAACAGTCATAGCATGCTTATTAAGGAGACCTTGTATTTCCAAGCAATCACTTTAGAAGCTTCACTAAAAGAAAAGAATGTGCAAGAAGACTTTGTAAGATTAGTGTGCACAAGCAATGCCATGCATTAGGTATGCAGCAGAAGAAAATCAGTTTGCATGAGACAACACTCTGACAACAATGCAAATACATCTTCCATTTGCTGTCCTTGTGTACTCACTGCAGGTCTGACTGGTAATCACATGCACGATGGGTCTTGAAACTCCAGCGGTGTGACCCAAGATTCTTTGTGAAGCAGCAGCAGACAACTGTGTCTGCATATGAGGCTAAATTATGGACAATGGTTGATTTTTATCCCTGTGAACTTTTCACCCAAATATTTCTCTATTTAAAAAGGAATTTTTGTCACATATCAATCTTAAAAATATTTGAAAGCTTCATGACACTAAATACCCAGGTAAAAAGGAATGAATTAAAATATAAAGCCTGGTACATACCCTTCTGCCTTCCACGCAGCGCTGGAGCTCAGGCTTGGCCAGCACAGAGTATTGGCAGCCGTGGGGCTGCCAGGTTATTTCTCTCCAGTCACAGGTCCTGTTGTCAGAGCAGCTGAGGCAAGGGACAATCCATTGCCCTGGAAAACAGCAATGAATGTCAGCACCTCCTCTGTATTCCTCTGAGTATTTTATTACACAGGAAGCAAGATATTTTTGAGTATTTTACACATGTATGAATAAAAAAACCTCATAAGGGAGTTTCCCCTAAATTAAATGACCTTCAACCCTTTGAAGAGACTATTTCCTTTCACTTTTCATTTAGCTACGTTGGGAGTTTCCTGCTTTCCCTGAAAGAGAAGCAAATGCTCAAATTTGACAGTCATTTGTGGATTCATTTCTCAGTCCATGTTACCTTTCTTGTAGCAGCTTGTCCTTTCTCAACAGAAGGGATACGAGAAAAAGAAAATGGGTGAGAAGGTTGAATGCAAAAAAAATATTCACATTCAGACATGTCTGAAGATTAATTCTCATCTACAATGAAACATCTAAAGTTTGGGTGTATGGTTGAGAGCAATTGATATAAAAATGAAGCAAGATTAAGACTTTACTTCCAAAACACTAATTTTCTTTTAATTTGTGAGAATTCAGAGGACTGTCCCAGACTTCACAAAAACATTTCAGAAGATGACTGTAAGGTGAAATGAATAACATATGTGATTTATTATAGCCTGATCTTATTTACAAAAATTATTTTGAAGATTAAGAGCACAAAATGGCATTACTAAAAATCAGTGGTTTTAGTAATCACTTATCTAAGGTTAAATGGTTTTCTTATTTTGATTTGCTAAAATTATTCCTTCCCAAAATCCTACTGGAAGCTTGAGGGATTTAATTTCTGAAGGAAGACAGAAAACTTTTGAGCTGCCTTTGTATTCAAATGAACAAAAGAAACACTTTTCTAGCTCTTTTAAGTGCACAGTGCTGACAGTATCTCCCAGTGCCTATGTAACTGCCAGCAAAACCTACTTTTGCTCTTATTAAAGGCATTGCACAAAGAAGAGTGCATAGGCCTAAGGTCCTTGTGTCAATGCTATCAGGCCTTTCTACCACAGATGTTTTTTTCACCATAGCCCAGAAAACAGCCCCAAAACCAAATGCTTGGGGACCAGACCTGTAGATCACGTCTGTCCCCACCACCACAACCAGGCAGCAGCTCAGCAGCCAGCTGTGTCTGATGGATTGCTGCTGCACAGGAAGCCACAGCAAAAAACCGAAGGCTACTTATTGACATTTCACCTGGCCACGGACTGAGGGGGAGGCTGAGCAAAGAAACCCTGAAGGATCCGAGCAGCCTTGGGAGAGTCAGCTGCTACCTCAGGAGCAAGGGAATTTCCAGGGAGGCAGCCTGTGCTTGCACTTAAGCAAAAGTCCAAGTGACTATGTTTTTTAAGTAGCAGGGTGAGTCATCTTAGCAGATAAAGAAGTCCTTCTAAATAAAACCATCAAGATTTTTTTTTTTGCATGGGAGCCTGCACAGGTACATTTAAGGGACAAACACATCCCACAGTGATGTGGGATTGCACAACCGTGCAATACCAGTTGCTGTGTACCCTGCATGGCTGCCCCTATTTCTGCCCTGTGCAGAACATACTCACACCACCCTCAGATGCACTTGTAGATGATTTGGAGAAAATTATAGCAGACTGAACCTAAGCAAACCCTGGACATTGGCTTTGAGCACAATGTGGTTCAGAGAGCATAAACCAGCTTCCCCTGCTTCCATGGGCATGGGTGCCTCGTGGAGGCTGTGCTGGGCAAGTTCACAGCATCCTAACCACACAGACGTTAGAGGAAATATTCCCCACTCAGTTAAGGACCACTTGAAAGTTCAAAATTCAGTAGGACAGGAAAATAGCATGCTTATAACCTGGTAATTTTTGTGTGAAAAGAGAGATCTGAACTTTGGTCCCTAAGAGAGAATCTATGTAGAATTTTTATCAAAGGCTTAAACTGAATTTTCATCTAAAGTTACAAAATGGGTAATCAGGTTCTGGAGCAGGGAGTTCTCTTCCAAATGAATACCCTCCTCAGCTGGGACACTAGAGGCTGAATTTAGACAATTTCTCGTACTGTAGCCTCCCAGGGCTGGCTGTTGTGAGTCCCTTACTCATGCTGACCCTCCCTTGGCTTTGAGGTCCTTAGTTCCAGGCTGTGTTCTCCTGGCCACCACTGGGGCCGGGAATACTTTGACCCTCCAAGATTTCTATGGCCACTTGGCTCCCACTTCGCAATCCACAACTAAATGGTCATTCCCAGCTTCACAGCAGTCTCATGAGGAGACTGAAAAGTGATAGGTCTCCAATAACCCACCAATAGGTGCCGTGCAAACACCTTTTACTACTTTGTACCTTCTGAGTAATAGAGCAGGGACAGAATGGTCGGTTGGTTTGAAGTCTGGACTGAGACCTTTCCACTACTGTAGAGGTCTTAATAAATGATCTGAAAGATGTTTCAGGCAGTGACCTATATTTTAAAATTATATGAAAACTCAGTAATTTTTTCCTGGTGTTGTAATTTTTCTTTCAACCCGAATATATAAAAGTTCTGGCAATGTCTAAAACATATGAGATCCCTCATTTTATGGAATTTTCTTTTAAACATCCCGTACTTTTACCAGCTGATTTGGTTAAAGATAATAAACTAGAAAAGTAGAACTATATAAAATGAATATTGAGGAGCCAAGATATCTGAACAATAGAAGTTTAAACTGAAAGTGACAAGTAACTTTGAGAAGCTTATTTTAAATAGTTTGGTTTATGTTCAATAGCTCCCTAGGTATATTAACAAAAAAACCCCAATTTTTGGCATACGCTAAAGGCTAGTGGCAAAAGCAAAAAGATTTGAGAACACGGATATATGGAGATAAATTCATATTTTTAGGAAGCACTAGCATATATTGCTAACAGAATAATGCCTGGTTTTAAATTTACATTAATTTTTTATGATACATGTAAATTTATGCATTTTACATCAAACTATTATGAACTTCTCCTATTGCAATTTCCCAACAGTTGGTCAATGCATTCCTAACCTTAAAAAATAGGATTGTGTTAAAAAATAAAATTAATCTCATAAAAAAGAAGACAACAGTGAAAAATTGCAAACAATATTAGTTTGGAAATTGGCTTATATTGGCTTATATTCCATTGCAATTTTAAGTTGCTCTTTCCTCAATTATATAATTTAGCAGCACATAATTCAGCACCATTTCAATCAGGCAACATTTTGTGGTGCTTCAGGCAAAAGCATTAACAGTGGCTCTACCAGGCAAGGGCAAGTCTATCAACAATTAAGTGAATGAGAGCAAGAGAGACACACTGTTAGTTTCTTCACAAATTAAAAATTGGCATTATCAAAATTTTATGAAAACCTGTAAGTAGGAGGTTTCCACAGGAAGAGTGAAAGCTGGGGTTTTTGGCTCATTAGAGTAGTTACCAGTTGCATACATAAATCTTCTGCTTAAGATACAAGATTAAACATTGCCAGTACTCCCTAAAACTGTTCTCATAAAATGGCATGAAAAGAAATATACTTTCAAAATAATTAGTTAGGACTGTTTACCTTCCATTTAAAAAATATCAGCCTAAAATTTAAAGTTTTAACCAATAATGGCTGTACACTTGATAGCTTTGCTTTTTCTTTCAGTCTCTTCTTTTTTTATTTATCCTTTTACATTGTCATAGCCACAATTAAACATATTCTGCTTTCAAATTTAAAATCAAGATTTTTCTATAGTGCTAAACAATCATCCATATAAAGAAAAAATCGTATTCTAGCTTGATATTTACCCTAAACTGAGGCTAAATTGATTTATGACTAGTTTACTATTGTATTTGGTGTTTATTTGGTACCCTGAAATCTTTAAAAATATTTTTCTCTGCATATAGGCTATGGAAATATTTTTCTTTTTGTTCTAGTTGTATTTATGAAAAAACAAAAGTAAAAACTATTTTAAAACGGAACATTATTTGCTACAGAATAAATAGCCTTAGGCCTATGGACTTATTTCTGAACTAAGATTTATGCCTTGTAACCAAAGGACACATTCATTTTGTTGGACATAAATTTATGTCTCTGCTGGACCCAAATCCAGACAGCTGTTGAATGCAGAGAGGGATCACACAGAATTATTTGAACAATAATAAATTAAATGGATACTGTTGTAGGAAGAATGGAAGTGAGATATAATTAAAACATATGTGGTCACAGCAACAAAAAATTAGAAGTGAATCTGTGATATCTTACACACCAGATTTTGTTACTGCTACAAACCACATTTCTACAGACTGCAGTAACCTGATTCAACCGCAGAAATTTAACACAAGTTGGGTTCTCATGGTCTCTTTCAGTTCTCTCTCTCTCTCTCTCTCTGAGAAGCCAAACACATGGTTAATGTTTGCTGACTGCTGTATTATAGGTAATGCAATGATATTGGACAAAGAGCTAATTTTGATATGATAGCTGGTTCAAACCGATGTGAATCAAAGGAGAACTTCTGAAAGAAAATGATTTTTTTGGTAGTAAAATTAAAATTTCATTCCATGATGTAAACATAAAGGAAAAAAACTTTCTCTGTTGTATATTCCAATTTGAATTTATTCATTATAAGGGGGATAGAGAGAGAGAGAGAGAGAGAGAGAGAAATTGTGTAAATTAAATGTTTATTTGGTAAGGTGTTGAACTTCTTCTGAATAATAGTGCCATGGTGATCAGGAGAGGAAGAAGTCACTTCTGTCTTTGTTTGGACCCTGGATTACAGTCTCTGCTCTACATGAAAGGATTAGAAATGAGTAATGAAATCCTGGTTGTACAGAACTATAAAGCAGCCTTCTAAATTTTACCATTAATGTCAGAAGAAGCAAGGTTATATCTTTATCTCTGCTGCTCCACCTCAGCCTCTATATATGACACAGGACAGTGTATGACACCTACTTACTTCTGCAGAATTATTGAGTTGTCTTCTGAGGGGAAATGACATTGCTTGACTTCTCTTAAAATTTAACTTATTTAAGAAATATTACTACTTTAGCAGGGAATTTGCCATTTACCATTCTTCATTGCCAGTATTGGTATATCATTTGGCTGCTATGAATTTGGAATGATTTTCCACACAAAGCCATGCTTTCAAGTTCCAGTTGGAAGCTGAGACACACATCAAAACTATGCAGACCCTTTCTAATGGTTTCATTTTTCACCATTTGCATCCGCCTGGGAACCTGCAATCGTGACGCGTCTCCCAACTCCACAGCCTTCCCAAAGCTGTAGATGTGGGCCACATCTGCCTCATGGGGTATTACTTTGAAGAATGAAATGTTCCACAGCAAAGGTTCTCTTCATTTCCTTTTTCTCTGTTCAGGCTTCATCCTCAGAAAACCAAGATCCCCTTCTTTCCTCAAGGCAAAGATTCTCAACACAGGTGCTTTTCGGTCAAATCATCTATTAAATGGAACACCTCCAACACCCCATGTCTTTCTCCATGGTTTACAGGAATATTCAGTACATCAGTTCATCCCTACAAGCTTACAAAAGGATTTTCAGCCATTTTGACAGCATCTCCTCATTCTCCTTCCATCTAAAAAACTTAGCTCGTGCTTCACTGACTTCAGAAATCTTCTTATTCCCTTTCATATTCAAAGGAAGGCTGGAGGTTTTGCAAATCCTATCTGAGCACTAAAGAGTTAAAGTTTAACATAACTGCAAGAGTTGGGCCAGGCTGAGGTTGCGCTGGATGGAGGAAGGCTGCTGAGGTGTCAATTAGCCTTTCTGGGGCTGACCTGCAGCCCCACACTGCCCATGGCCACCCCTGCTTCCAGACAGCGCCCGACTGCCTCCCCCAGGCCGCGTGGGGGGGCTGGGCAGGCCTGGCCGTCCGACAGCAGTGGGAACCGGGCCCCCCACGCCAGAGCCGCAGGCCCGTGGAGGAGGAAGCCGTCAAGGTCTTATCAATGAGCTTCTCCTCCTCCCGGCCACTGGGTCTCCTCGTTTGCAAACGGGGCCCAAGCGGCCTCCCGAGCCTCCCCCCGCATGGTGGGGGAAACTCGGGTTGGTGTTACCTGCTCAGCCGCTGGAAAGACAAAGAGACTCAGTTCCGGATTACCTCCTTTGAAATGTGTGTTCACGGAGCAAACTAACTTTCTCCCATTGGCTGTTGAAGGTGTCCCAACCCCCAAAGAGGAAACTCCCTTAGAGAGAACTTCTCTCTGAGTTTCTTATTCCCAAGTCAACCCATCACACCCTTGTTGCCAGATACTGCAGACTCCTGTTCTAGGCTCTTTAGACACCTTTTGGCAATATTCACTTTATAAGCACAAATTATTCTTCCCTGTTTAATATATACTTGTCCTTTGAGTATGGATCTCCTGAAGACTGTTTGAACTTTGTGTATATTATTCACAATAAGGCTGTAAAATATACTACATTCATCATACATTACTTAGCTAGATTCAGTATCCAAAAGAAGTATGTTGTATATCAGAAGAAGGAGATTGTCTGCCCAAGAAAGGATTCAGTGGATTTGGTTAGGGCTTTCTAGTTTTGAAGTTTATGTCCTGATATTGTTGCATATGATGATACACAGCTTTTGTGCTTAAAATACACTGCTAGGAACAACAGCGTCTCTTTTGTGCATTTCCTCCATATAAGACAAATGTATTGTTTTCCTCTGTTTCGCGTGAAGTGATGCATTCAGGCAGTTCCTACATTCTTGTTATTTTTTATTGATTATTCAACAAGTTTGTGCATATTTACTGCTGTGAGAAGCTACTCCTGTTTATGGCAAGATAAAGAAAACAGTTGTGTCAGTAGAACATAGAGGACTGTTGGTTTGTTTTTAATTTCTCTAATAAAGAATGGAACAAAATTACTTACTGTCTATTACAGCAACTTAAATATGAACAAGAAACACCTAAGTAGTTAAAATACACTTAAATAAATCTTCATGAAACTGACTTTCACATGAGTACCGCCTTGACAAAATCTATTGTAATCTGAATTCTCAAAAAACCAAAGGCATGTCTTGATTGTATTGATTATGATATAATGTTTGATTTATCCATCTTGTGTTTCAGGATATAAATATAAGTAAAATTAAAAACAAGTTTTGTGTTTCTAATATAGCAGGGGAGATACAAAATTCAAATGGATAGAAGTGTTGTGTTCCTTTTCTAAAGTTAATTTTTATTTTGAGTAGAAAATCCCTTCTATGTAAGATAAAGTCTTTTTATTTTAAGTGGTTTTGTTGGAATATTTCAATGCATTTTAAAGACTACATGACAATAACACATGCAGTGGTGGATCACTGATTAGAAAATTATTAAACAAAAAATTCTCACATAAATTAATCTGATTTTAAAAACCAGTAACTGTTACAAGTGATCAGTTCAATTTATTGTGTGTAGGCTAGTGCATTTCTGTAGCAAAGAGTTAATACTGTTTCTAGCTTTTCTTTGATGAGGTGCATGAGTTACTTTTCAGGAAAAAAAGGGGGATACAGTACAAACCTTTCGTGTCTCCAGCTTCACAGGTCTTAAGCACTTTCTGTGAAATTGTTGAGAGGTATTCATGAGAAAGAGGCTGCAAGCCACAGGACTCTTCCGGGAGAATTTTGGAGCCACAGTCCTGAATTAAAAGAGAAGCTGTGAAAATGACAGCACAGTACCTATCCACATCACCTTCAAATCCTCTTTGAGAGTAAAAATGTTATTTGGAGTGGTTCCACAATTAGTTCATCCTTAGCTCTTCAATATATAGTTTAATATTAAATTTAGAATTCTTTTTCCATGCAAAGGTTTTGCAATAAATTATCCCATCCACAGTAAACATACAAGATACTACATTTGCTAAAGATATGAGAAAATTTATTAAGGCAAATATACATACCTTTCATATAACATCATGTGGTCTCTACACATTGTATAATCTCTACCTATTTTCCCTTAGGAATTTTGTATGCCTATTTGTAGTCATATGGGATCCATTTCTGTGATGAAATGCCCCAAATTAGCTTCAGGAAATACAGGTGCTTAAAGGAAAAAAAATTCTATTTTCTAAAATGGTGCTAAAATTAATTTCACAACTGTGACATGTTATCATTCACTGTTATCATGAAATTATGCTATATCTATGATCCTGTGCCTAAATTGCACCAATGAGTAAAAGACAATTAAGTCCTAATGAGTCAAGGGTTGACAATTAGTAAAATACATGCCACTGATATGGATAGCAATATGAACACATCTTGGAATTTTGTAAATACTGGTGGTTCTTGATTATGCAATCAAAAGGCAAAATGAAATACTTGTCTTACAATTATTCTGATCTCATTAAAGTCCATGGTGGTGAAAAAAAATAAAAAAATCTTCCCAGTGACTTCAAAGTTTTACAGTAATATCTGTGCATAAATAAGCAACAAAATAGTGGTTATTTGTGGGTTGTCCTGTTCTCTGCTTAATCTCTCTAACAAGGGAAAGCTGTTATGGCAAAATGAATGGGAAAGTATCTTCTAGTATGAAATTGTGTTTTGAGTCTCTGGGTCTGGTCATGCTGTACAGTTATTTGACAGTATAACTTCAACTAACATTAACATCAAAAAGTTCCTACCTTGCAGTAAAACAATTTGGACAGGACTTCACAGGAGAGCCCCAAATTCCTGAATGTGCTGCCATTGCCCTCAACACAGTGACATAAAATAACAGAAATTTTCTCATTCATTCTGCCCAGGGTATTGTGTTCAAGCAAACAAAATTTAATTTTAATCACATTTCTTGGGCAATAATGTTAACAATAATTTTGTGTGGCTTGTTTTTTGTTAATTACAACCAACATGCAGGGAACTGTGTAACTGATTCCCCCTGTTGTGTTTTCAAAGTAAGGGATATTGCTTGCATTTAATTTGTAATTCACATCTAAACCGTCATGTCATGAGAGAGTGTGAATCCCTGAACAAGACTTATTTGTTTCATTTTTACCTTTGTACCAATCCTTTACCATCATTGACATATTTAATATAATATGCAAAATGAATCTATGGCAGCTACAGATTTACTGCAGTTCCATAAATGTATGGCACACTGAGGGTTTTTCTAAATGCATGTATGTTCTCTGTTGTTTTCTTCAGATGCTGTGCTGACATGACATCCTTCTTGCCTCGCCCAAAGATGAAACATTTTGTGATCTTGAGTATGTTTACAAAAGATCATTCATTGCAAAGACGAGAGCCAGACATGATAGTTGCTCTGTGTCTGTTCTTCCTGCAAACCTTCATTTTTAGAAGGGAGACATAACAAAGTCCTTGTAATTTCTGGATTAGAATCAAAAGAAAAATTCCCTTGCATTATGTACTTTAGTGCACACAAGATCAATGTGGCTTTTTGCTAGTGAACTTTCTTTTAACTTTATGGAAGATTTTCTGGATACTAGCAAATAAAAGAGGAATAAACCTTTCTTCTGTACATCTACATAGCTTGTAATCAACATCAGTTGATACTTAGTCACTGAAAATTTCTGCAGTCCATCTATTATGTGAAATGACAATTTCCTTGACTCTTTCAGATTATACTATAGTGAATCTGATTCTTCATAATGTGTTAGTCTTTCAGAGATGAAACAGATTTTCAAGCCCGTTACTGAGTTTTTTCAATTATTACCTTCAAAATATTTGGGGCTATTATTTGATGGTATTTCATTTATTTATAGTCAGGGTGCCTAATTTAGTAAGAATTTTGTTTGTTTAGTTCACCTTTCAATAACCACATTATATTTCCTCTCAATTATATACTTATGCATATACATATACATACGTAGTTTTACTCAGGCATGCATAAATAGTAAAAAAAATCATAACCAGTTAAAAAATTTTACAGGTGAAGACAGAGAGAGAGAGAGATGGAACAAAGCATTGTAAAGCTGACCCATACTCATGCAGCTGATGTCATGGGATGAATGTTGTACAGCAAAGACCATTGTAGATGCAGTCATGCTTCAGATTAAAGACTCAAACTCAACTATTAATGTATTTTCAGTTGTTGTTGTACCTTTTTCACCACCTCCACCTTAATGTAAAATGATTACTCTGAAACTGCAGCAAAAGGAAAGAAGGTAAGAAGCCCTTGACTTTGCTGGGAGAAGTCATACCAATAGGGAAAAAATGTCAATTTGTGCTCATTTTAACAGTTGGTACTCCAGCAGTGACAGAGCAAAATCAAAAATAAAGTTACTTTTAACATCTACACCTGCTGCTACCTATCAGCTCAAGAAGGCATTTTTAAATAGAAAGGAAGGATTTTCAGAATTTTATGGAATAATCCAACTCTATTCACTCACAGCTGTGGCTAAAACCATATTTTTTGGTGGAAGTAGACTTATGTTAATGAATTGAATGCTTTGGAAACTTCTACCCAGGATACCTGTATAGGCTCCACAGTCAGCTACTCAGTAAAAGTCCTTCTTGCATTTATATGAATCCCCTAACAATCAATGGGAGTGGTGGGCTCAACGCTGAAAAACAGGCAATTTCTACTTCAGATCTCATTTCTGAAATTGTACCTAGCCAAAATCACTAAAGACTACCTCTACCAGTCTAATAAAGGATCAGTGTATCAGAATGTTTTAAACTAAATAACAAGAGAAATATAACCAAGATCACAGAAATTCCTTTTAGTGTTGCATACAATCAATATGTAGCCAAAATCCCGCATCTTTTTGACATCCAGAAACCCATGCATGGCTGAGAACTAGTGGATGAGATAAACCCCACTGAGTGCTCTTGACAAAGAAGGTGTGAGACCTCTCCACCTGTCAGCTCTGACCCTGCAGTCTCTTGGCCAGCATTGCCCATCAACCTAGGAGGTCACCCAGCCACCTCCTCCAGGCACTGCAGCCCTGCCTCCCCTCATGGTGCTGCCAAGGCTGTCTAACTCCTTTTGACTGCACTTTAGACATGACAGAATAAAGCTCCATGCAAAAGAGCTAATTTAGAACACTTTTCTGGTGGTCTTTGTAGGCTCACTGACTGAACTTTATTTGGTTTTTACTTGATTTAAGCTGACCTGAGTTTCTCATTAAATCCTTTCATGTCTCTTTAGTCCATCTTTTTCTACTATCTTACATACAACTAAAACTACATGAAAAGTGATTAATAATGATTATATGGAAGGACTTCTAATAAAATTAGTCCAAGAGTGAGGTCATGAAATAGTGAAACTGTATCTTATTGCTAGGGAATAAATTGTGAGCAGATGGATTAGCTCCACTCTATCAACTTTCTTAATATGGCAGGAATAAATGAAGGAACAGTTGGCATATTGACCTCTATTCAACTAACTCCTTCTGTCCAGCTGCATTATTCTGTGATAGATGAACCTCTGAAGATTGAGAGGTTCAGGCCAGTTCAGTTCAACACCCAAATATACTAGATTGAACTGAAACTTGTGTGTGTGCAAAATAAGTCTAGAGATATGTCATAAGGAGAGGCATTCTCCCAAGAAACTTCAGTTTGCTACTGCTGTCAGATGGGAAAAAACTACTATTATTAGCCATCAATCACTGTCTAAGACATAGATAAAGACACTGTCTACATTAAGAGACACGCAAAGCCATTAAACAGAGACTATAGGATTAATGGGATGAACTGATGGAGTAACCTATCCTTGTGCTGCAGCTATGTTTTAAAGTAAAGAAACTGCATTTTATATCACCGCAGTATTCTTTAAGGAACCTAATAAGTTCTATCTGCAAATATGGGACAATAGTTTCCAAATGACCCCAAAGACTGTCAAAAATAACACATTAAAAGACTATGAAATGTTCAGTTCCCCACAGATTTGGTAGGGGCCTTTTCACTTCAGAAAAGGAATATGGGCACTTCTAAGTGGAAAAATGCAGCACATTTTTCATCATCAGTAGGAGATCGGGAATGATGCAAAAAGCTGAGATACTGGTCATGTTGTCAGGGCATCAGAGAACAGTTTGATGTATGGATAAAGTACAGCCATCAGTCTAGATTGCTTCTAAATTCTTAATTGTGCTATTTATGTTGTTACTATACTTATTATTACTGTTTCTTAAGAACAGAAGCATACCCTAAATTTTATTATTTTTCCCAATCACAAATTTCTGCATACAAAATTTCATTGAGAATAATATCACATGCTTTAACCAGTGACTGAAGATTGTCATAACTAGAATACCTTTACTAACTGCAAAAGAAATTTTGAAAATCCCAGTAGATGCCTCTCCATAAGGACTTAAAGCATTTACTGTTTATATGGACAAATAAATTTCACCCTAATGCTACAGAAAATGCAGTGTCTTCCTCTGCACTCAGAATGCTAACCTCACAGAAAGCTATGAAACTATTTCGAGAAAATATTACAAATTTCATACCATAGTTTAGTATATTTTATGTGCATGGAGAATATAAAATAATCATTTTAATCTATGAAGGATTTTGATTCATTTCCATTTTATATGAATGACATCAGTTAGACCCTATCTGCCTTCCTGATCCCAAACAGTTCAAAGTGCTGCATTTGTGAGCCATAGGAAAAAACTATTCACATGAGACCTAAAAAGTATGACTCTTAATCTAGCAAAGTCTTATGAATTATCATTCTGAACGG